TGTTATGTGCTCTAAGAATCCCAATTGTTTCTCTTCTTTATTTAATAATTTCTGTAGTTCTGAAAGTATATCTTGCAAAGTCAAGACCTCTATTTTTTCTGGATATTGTGTCATTCTTGACAAACACAGCAATCTTACTTAAAAGATTTCTCCTCTCTGATCAAATAAGGGAGGTCTTATTATTTTTGAGGTGCAGAAGGCAGCAAGCAGAGTTACCTCATGGCTGCTGCTGTGTTGCAATATTTTCGGGGAGGGATTATTTTAATGCATGCACTCAAAAGCCTGATTGGGCTTATTATCCGGGAGGTCTTATTTTCAGGGAAACAGGATATTGATAATTTGTCAATAGTTATAGCCATATTGCCTTGCATAATCCATGCCAATGTTGCAAACAACCATCTATTTTGTTCTGTTAACTGTTTTTACAGTATTTTTTTAAAAAATGGAAAATCAAACTTTGCTATCATCTGCATTGTTCTGCAATACAGGTAGTTCTTGTTTAACAACTCTCTCATTTAGAGTCTGTTTGCAGTTATGACTATGATGGAAAAGTAACTTTGCAACCAATCCTTACATATACAGCCTTCACAGGTCTTTAAAGCAAAGCTGATTGTAAGTAGAGTCACAATTCCACTTAGAGATAGCTTTGGGATCCCAATTGGAACACTAAACAAGGTCTACCTGTATAAATATTTGGGATTGTGATCATCCTTTAAAAATGCAACTAAAGCTAATATACTTTTCCAATAAAATTTGTTGGATGTAGCTTTCCCCCCAAATGTTTTTGTAATTTTTTAATGTGAAAAATTATTAATGCTACTCAATTTTGTTGGTTCTGATCTGCTGAATTAAGTATTCATTGTGGTAAGATGCATTGTTCTGTTGGCAGTTATATTTTGTTTTCATATTTTGAACCTGTAGCTCTTAGTAAAACTAGTCCTGCTGCTTTTCCCCTAAGAGTATTGCAACTTACTAAAATAGCAGAATTTTTATAAAAATCTCCTGAGAGAATTATGAGAGTTATAAATACTGATAGGCATTCATTCTTGCTTAATACTTATTGCTAACTCTATTTAAACAAACAAATGTTACATTGAGGCTACCTTGATTGGAGAGATATGAAAATATTCATATAAACTGATTTGTGATGTGTCAGTTGATACTGCATTCTTTAATTCTTCCTGTGCAGATTCTACATCCTTTTTAAAAAGTTCAATCTGCAAAAAAATTGACAACAGGTAGTAAGTCTTAAAACTTTAAAGACAATACTGATATATTTTTTACACAGCGGTTGGTGTGTAGTACACAGTTGATTTTAAAAAAGAAAATATTGGAATATGTAACAATTTGTTGTTGCATTACTTAAAAAATATCCTATAGGAATTCATACCTCTTGGTCTTTGGGAAGTTCATCAACATGTGTAAAAAACTCAGACAGCGCAGTAAGGAAACCAAGATCTAATCGGAGATCCATCTCTTGAATTAAAACTTTAAAATACCTATAAAAGTTGAAACCATTAAATAGTAGAAATATGTAACTATTAAATATGCAACTGTTTCAACATCAAGAATGAAAGAAAATGCCTCAGTGAACAGGTAACCAAACAATTCATATAACAATGCTTTATGCAGTTATGTTAAACTTTTATAAAATTATAGAAAAAACTGCAAACACATTAATTCCAATACTTTTACTCTAATCATGTCTACTCAAAAGAAAAAAAAAATCTGTGGTTACACTACAATTTATTTCTAACTAAAGCAAGCTTCCCATTCCAAAGGTAAAAGACTGAAGTGCAATGCTATACATATTCAGTCAGAAATAAATTCCAATAATTTCAAATGGAGAAAGTTACAATTGCATTCCTAAATTAAGATTGGAAAAAGCATACTTACTTTATGCGTGATATTTGAGAATGTCCTGCAGTTCTCATCACAATACTGACATCAGTAAATGGCTTGGGTTCTATAAAAATTCCAAATATACTCTCATGAAGAATATAATTTATTTTAATATTCAAAAGGTAATATATGTAATTGATATCATTTGCAATGATAAAATGATATCATTTGATATCATTTGATATCATTTGCAAAGGATGCAATGAATGAGTTGAATAAATAAAGGAACTAAGTTATTACAAAACACACACACATACACACACACACACACACACACACACACACACGGATATGAGAGCAAATGAAGCCATTTATTAAAATGAGAAGTACACATTCACAAACATTTTAAATTCTAAATCCTAGCAGGTACATGTTTATAATAGTTTAGTGACATCAATGATTAATAATTTTAAGATTTCAATGACATTAGCTAAACAATCTCAATTTAAAAGATTTGCAATTTGTAATTATATAGTTCCAGGCTAACTGTGTACATTTGTCAAGCGAGAGNAAAAACAAACTAAATCTAAACACACTAGGAATTCCTGGAAGCTTGACATTCAGAAAAATCAACCACCGATAGACACATAGAGATAAACCACATTTACACACCATTCAAAAGAGAATAAAAAAACTAAGAAGGAAACAAAAAGACAAAACCACATCCTCTGCAGCAGCGAATACCAAGACAAGCAGGGATTAACACCAGACAAAGAAACAAACAAGCAAACAGAAAACAATACTCTAATCAACTAACTGCCAAAGAATATTCCCCGCCTCCCCTCACACTTCAAATCACTGGCAGGAAAGCTACTACAGGTAATTGTCGGGTTATATTGTGGTACACATGCGGCCTGCGGAGCTGGCAGCAGAGTCGGACAATGAGGAGGTTGGGGAGAAACATGGGCCAGTCCTGGAGTCTATAGAAGGCTCGGACAAGGGCTCTGTGTTGGAGGCAGAAAATGGGGTATGACACGTCACTTATCTACCTTAAGGCCTGCATGAGATCCGTGGCAAAAGGCTTTGCAAAATGGACTTTCTTCCGTTTGCAAAGGCCTTTGCCACAGATCTGGTACAGGATTCGGTTTGCAGAGAACAGAGACCTAAAATACTGTAGTGCAAGATTTCACAAGATCAGTTGTGCAAGATCTTGCGTTATTGATCTCTCATGATCTTGAACGCTTTTCATGGTGATCTGGAATGGGCAGACGGGAACAGCGCAAAAAGCATTTGCAAGCTAACAGGAGGCTTGAAACAATGTTATTTTCCTGATCCAAAATCTCATCAGCTTGCAAATGCTTTTCGCACTGAGATTGGAAGGAAATCAGCGCAGAGAAGATGAAGAGGAGCCAGCTTGCTAAATCTTCACAAGATAAATGACCTTGCGTGGCTGGGGGGGAGAAATTGCGGGGACCCCAGGAGAGGGAGCATGAATAGCTTGGTCAGGGGAGGCCTTGGGTGGTCTGAAGCAGGTGGCCTGTTCCATCGCTAGGCCCCCCCCCCATGGTTTTCCCCACCCTGAGATACCTCATGTGCACTTAACAACTTGTGTATTCGATTAGCGAATGCGTGAGTGAAAGCAGGGAGTGATCCTGTTCATTTGACATGAATCACTCAAACGAATCTTTGGGTTACAAATGTAATTGGCAGGGTTCATTACATTCATAACTTGAGGACTACCAGTATATAAACAGAAAAAGGAAAAAACCACACACACTAGCAATGATGATATTACCTAGTCAGATAATGAAATGTCTGCAACAAAACAATCAAGCTCAGAGAGCGCCAAGGACTCCACAGTTCAACTCTGATATATATCATCCATACAGTGTTTTTATTGGAATTTCCTGAGTACAAGTAAAATTCTCCATTATATTATTCCAACTTATTATTTTCATCCTGTTTATGGCAAGAAAGTTTTAAACATTATGTTGCACTGCATTAATCCCACAATACTGGAAAACTCTAGCCATTAATGGATTTGAATTGTAAGTTGCTAAGAATCATTGAGATGGGTCGCTATAGAAATTGAATGAATTAATTATTCAGTTGTAATTTGTGATCCAGTCATTACCTAATATGTATAATCAGAAACCAAATCTAATTGACATAAAGGATTTGAGGAATAATAAATATGGTGTGCTCTTGTTGGATTTCTACTTTTGTAATATTCATAGAAAGAATCAGATTTTTTTTTTTGCTCCCTGGATAAACAATTTCTAGTCATATAGTTGATCTTAAGAAAATATTTATTTAATTCCCTCATTCATAAGGATAAATAACTCATGGATAATGAAGCCATAGAGTAAGAGAAGGGACCTACTCTACTTTTATTATTTATGTTGCTTATGAATTTGTCAAAAAGCATATTTTATTTGTCCATATATCTAAAGTGAGATATAACTGTTCATTATACTGTTTGACTTAGACTTATAGTTGTTGTCACAATAGAGACAAAGCTCTACTGCATAAAGTTGCCACTTCTTTTCTTAGCGCCAGATTACTGAAAAGAATAAAATTTTATATGCACTAACTAAAGATTTAGGTTAGGTTTGAGGAAAAAAAATGCATTTTTCTTTTTTTAAAAAAAAAAACTCTATAGTAGTACATCCAGAGATCTTTCTTTGTTTATCAATAAACCCAATATTTCAAACAAAAAAATCTAGGCCATTTGGCTGGTCAAACTGAAATATTATTCAATATTAGTGAGTATATTACAAATATGATTGTTGGAAACCTTTTGACTGTATTCTCGAAGACCCTATCCCAGAAACAATCCATTGCAAATCCAAGTTCTTTTCCTGTTTTCTGATAAAAAATAAGCTTCGTGGGTATGTCTTTTAAAGCTATATTTTCCTAAGAAAATTAGATTTTAATAGCTTTGTAATTGTAATGTAAATGAGGACCCAGAGTGTTGGGAGCAATATTCTGAAATTGTAAATTGCCCAGAGACTGCTGTAAAGCCTAAGGGGGTGGTAAACAAGTCTAAGTGCTATATACTATTGTAATTACTAATATATACAAGAGATTTTATAAAATGTCTAATTAACCACTGAATCTATTATATGGCCCATGGATAATCAACAGCCATATATAAACTTCTACATATACTTTTTAAAATAAAACAACAATAAGAAAAAACCCATAAATTTAGGTTTTCTATGTTTCGGAAGCTTTAGCTATCAAGTTCAAGTTTAGAATGGAGTGGATTTCTTACAATAGATTCATTTAGAAACATATCACAGAAAAGACCCTATGTAGAATTATTAACATAATCCTTCAATATTTTCTTCTGTAGGCAAGAAGCAAATTTGCAAATGGAAAATTGGCTCATTAGTAATATAGTTTTTACTGATTAGCCATCCAAATATTTCAAATTTGTATTATTTTTGCATACAGTTACATTCAGGTCATTATTAGAGTTTCATTTTAATAAGAAAAATAAAAGACTTCTATTCACTCTACATTTAATAAGATAGTTTAAAATAAATGAAAATATAAAAAGAAAAAATATGGTAAACTAAGTCTCTAAGGATGAAAATATGTAAGACATAAATGTATCTTTATAAATAAATCAATTTTGATAGATGAAACTTTTCCATTAAAATTTTAGAATGGAGGCTAAGAAAAATGGTGTGAAAATTTGAACAGAAGAAATCAATCATTTCTTATATAGACTTATTTATTGTTATTACAGAATAAAGACAATATACCTAAAAAGAATATAAGACAATATTAACATCCACAATGTATGTGAGAACACAAGACACTGTATTCATTTATAAAAGGAATTTTTGCTAAAAATACACACAAATGATTTAAACCATTAAAATAAAGGAATGGAAAATACAGTACTTTAACAAGGACTACATAATCTTCTGACAATATTTTCAATTAAGTAATTATCACAAGATTATGGCCAATGTCAAACAATGTTTTAATGTGACAATTGAAATATAGACAAGTTAAATTATAAACTATTTTAATTTATGTTGTTGATTAGAATATATTTTAAAATTTACATGTAAAACACAATTTTGTAACAATTATTGGATTTTTTTCTCTGGCAGTCTCATAAAAGAAACTTAACATTCAGCTGTTGCAATTCAACAGGTAAGGCATACATTATTATCCTAATTGTTTTCATCATCATCATCATTAACATCATCATCATCATCATCACTACCACTAATATGGCACAAAGTCCATTTCCTGTAGGCCTGTCTTTTCTGTAAGCATGAGTAAGAGAAGAAAGAAGCAGAAGAGTTAGTTGATGCTAGTCAATTTGGATTGAATTTTTAAATGCAAGAGAATGAAAGAACAAAATTAAAGATGAGATGTAGCTTTTGAATTATAGCATACAGAAGAAAAACACTAATCAGTGGAGTATGTTAATCCTATATTTCAACCTCTTATACAACCAACTCTTTAAAGATGCCCTAATTTTTTTTTAATTTAAAAAGCACAAGCTAACTTGGTTCATGGCTATGTAAGGTAAAATAATTTACATTTTTTTATATCAGTGAACTTATAAATTTTATAACTAAAGCATAAAACGGAAAACCTTGAAAAAAAAGAACGTGATCCAAAAAGCTTTGCTCTTGTTTTCAATAGATTCCTTCCTTCCTTGGAATGTAATGTAACTCCCTGGAGGCATACCAGATTTATGGATCATGGTACCAACTACTCAGAGATAAAATTAAAATGTGCAAATAAATTGGAACATACTATAACTGCAATTTATGAAGACTTTCTAACTGACTGTACACTAATATTTGTAGCCTAATTTGCACAAATTTAGACAGCAGTATGTGAAATGAGTGATTATGTTATGTTGCTGAACCAGAATACGAGGAAAAGTAGAAGAATTGCTTGGCAGGCAGCCAAGGTGTTTTTATTTTTATTGTTACTGATATGAGGCTAGAAGTTTCAGCTCAGTTCAGATTTCTACAATTTTGTGGAAGAATCTACTCAATCTACAGTAGTTTTTAGGCTATTTAAAAGTTATACTTACTGTTCTAACTTATGCATAATTTAAGAAGTGAAGTGTTGATATATTCATGTTATTGACATATTTCTTTTCTCATTCTGAATACAGCTTCAGCAGGATAAACAACTTAAATTTCCATAAAATATTAAAAATAACTGACAAGATTCATTTAATATGTTATAATTTAAATTCCTTCTTATTTGTTTCTGAATTTTATAAGCAATAATTACTATTCCAAAGTACAATAGGTACTATTACTTTTGTAACATTTATTACAAATCATAAAATTAAAAAAAATGTAAAAAGAATATTTGGTTAAATGCATTGTTTACTTTAAAAATTATGTGTCATTGTTCTTTATGCAAAAAGCCACTATTTTAAATTTTAAACTTTGGGGGTGGGGATTCTAATAAAAGTTTTTTATTTTAACCATTACCAGAAAACATTTTATTTATAGTCCTGCATATATAAACACTCTTTACAATCATTTGTCCTAGGCATGGTGTGTTTTAGATAAATTATTGCTAGTTTGACTATTGTTGCATTTTTTTTTATTTATCATCAATAGAAAAGGAATATATAAAATCATTTCATTAAAAATGGATTTCTAAATAAGTTCTTTTGAAAACAGAAAATGTAAGAAAAATAAATTTATATTTGAAAAATTCCTCTAAGTTACTAAAAATTTAAAACTGTTGCTAGATTAAAAATTCTATTTAAAATATGTAAAATAAAACAAAACCAATAGTCCTCCTAAAACATTAATTTAGTTCAAAATGAGTTTTTAGGTATTTAGATGCATATTTAAATTACGTTTATCAACCATATTACCGTGTTTCTCCAAAAATACGACAGGGTCTTATATTTTTTTGACCCACGAAATATGGCCTTGGCTTATATGGCTTATTAAAGGGGAAGGCTTGTTGTTTTTGGGTTGCCGGGTGGTTGCTCCATTGCGACTGGGCTCCCGAAGAGCCGGGCACAGCTTCAGGGTCGAATGGCTGTGTTGCACTGTCGCAGCAGCAACACAGCAGCCATGAGGTGGCCATGCTCGTGAGCAGCCACCTGGCAATCCCACTTTCCAGCCGGGTGACCGATCTAGCGGTAACTGGAAGGCACCAAGCAACGTGAGCACCTGTTCACTGCCCTCCATCCCCGTGGCTCGGTGCCTTCAGAACGCCCGCTCGTGTTGCTTGGTGCCTTCCGGGCACTGCAGGATCGGTTAGCAGCCGTGTGCCCAGTTGGAAAGGGGGGTTGCCAGGAGGCTGCTTTTGAGTGTGGCCACCTCATGGCTGCTTTGTTGCTGCTACAACAGTGTAATACAGCCATTTGACTCCGAGGCTGTGCCCGGCTCTTTGGGAGCCCCCTCGCAAGAGAGCAGCTGCCCGGTAACTCCCTCTCTTCAGCTGGGCACAGCGCCGCTGACCAACCTAGCGGTACCCTGAAAGCACCAAGCAACGCAAGCACCTTTGCCCCCAACCTCGTTCCCGCGGCTTGGCACCTTCAGGATACTGCTAGGTTGGCAAGCGGTGCTCTGCCTGGCCAGAGGGGGGATTTATTTTGGGGGGTGGGCTTATATTTTTGTGAAAAAAGTGGCAAGGCTTTAGTTTCAGGAAAGGTCGTATTTTCAGGGAAACACAGTAACTCCATTTCTAAATGTAAATATATTTTCATATATTAGATTTTACACACACACACACACACACACACACACACACACACACACACACACACAGAAAATAGCAATGACTACATCTCATATAGTAAAAAAAGAATATGTAACAATGTTCCTATCCACAAATAAATGGTTCCATGCATGCAGAAAGGGGTCTAGCAGGAAAGAAAATATCNGATAAAAATGCAAGTGATAGAAACATTCTCTCCAGATTATTTCCACACTTGGAAAGATAATCATTTTTTCCTCTAAAATGTTTGATTACTCTTATTTATTGAAAAGCACTTCATCTAAGTGAAAAAGAACAAGTATTTCTTTAATGTTTTCACTTAAAAGTTATATATGTTCACCTTCTAAAAAATGTAGGAAGAAATATATAAATGTATTAACAAGATCTAGTAAATTTATCTTACTTTACACTTTTGTATTGTGAAATGGCTTTTTATTCATATATTTTAATTTATTTTTCCTTATTACAGATGCAAGAAAAGCATAATAATGTATTAAACTGTGTTAACAAACCTGAATCCAATGAGATGGACTTGGGAGGTTTAATGGGATAGAACACAAAAGGAAATATGGCTCCAGGAATCTGATTTTGTATCTGATAGGAGCAATTACAGGACAATACACTGAAGGTTAGAAACTTTATATGAATTGTTAGGTCGTAGTTTGCAATTACACTAGCTTCACAAATTAGAAATGCAGAATTCCCCAAACAAAAGTCTTAATCTGCAGTAGTCAGCAGCTAATTATTACTTACTGGTTTGTCTATCAAACAAAAGTTCATTTTAAAATTTGAATTTTCATACATTATTTAAGTATAGCCTAATGGTGATATTTTTAAAACAAATAACAGGAAAAAGTGTCAAAACTGTACATAGATGATTTTCCATTATCAGTTTTTCACCATGAATTGTGGGTAATCTGATATACCTGTATTCTATAGATTTGAACTCTGAAAGAAGACTGATGTTCAGAGGTACTGTATTGTACTTTTAAAGCTGGCAAAAAGCTTCTTCTCACAGGAAATTCATATGGCTGCAATATTTTCATGTTATTACCAGTAGGAGTCAAACAGACCTGCTAGAAGACAAAATCCAAATTTTAATTAATTTTTAAAATTAACCTTTCAAATCAAAGGTCACAGCATAACTCAAACTAAACATTTTTAAATTCCATATATTTCTAAGTGACATTTCATATGCTTAGCCTTTCAACTGTATGCAATTGTAATAACGTTTTAAACTTTATCCAAATATGCTAATTACTTCATTTTAAAATTAGCAACTGAATCTTCTCCAGAATTACTCAGAAATAATCCAATTAAATTCAACTGAAATTCATCTTTACTAGTAACAGTATATGCTGAGAGAAAGCAGAAATCTGGTGACATAAAATTTGTCTAGGGGCCTAAAAAAATCCTTGCTACAATCCTGCCTCATTCATTTAAAATTTAGCTACTGAATTTAGCAATGTTACTTCCCACATCAGCAATATAAGGAGTAGAGATATTGATCATATTGATTTAAAGGAAAAGAAAGCAACCATTTCATATGTTTTCGTCCCCAAGGAATGCACTGTATGCATTCAAACAAACACATCATATTCAGAATCCTGGAACAGAGAATTGCCTCCTTGGCTATTATGCTATATATTATTACTTTTTGCTGCTTGAACCAGTGGGAAAAAATGATGATGTGGTCAAATTGAAAAGCATAAATCTTAAATAAGCAGGACCACTGGGACAAAGAAAGAAAAAAGTCTTCTCTCCCAGGAACTGATTATATTGGGAAATAATGCTCTCCAATGCACTCTAAACACTTAAATGATGTGCTTTTGAAAAATCCTAGTCTAGACACTGTTCATGTTCTTAAGACAACTGAATCTGACCAAGGAGTTTTGCTCAGGAGAGTCAAAAGTGACAGTTGCAAACTGCCTTAGGTATTTGGAGAGGAAATCAGGACTCAGCAGTCCCAAGAACATTGGCCACCGGGCAGGAAATTTCCCATTACAAGTCATAAAAATTACAAAAGCTCAGTAGTTTCAATTACACGTTCAATTGCACATGTTGAACTGGGGGTGGATTGGTTAATTATATAATTTCACTAATTCTAAGCTGCAGATCAACCATCCGTTTTAAAAAACAATGGTTATACAGTACAAGCCAGGCTTCCTGTCTCCCTTGCAGCTGAATCACACTGCAGAACAGGCACCAAGCTCAGGGATAAGATAGAAAAGTGTGATGCCACAGCAGGCCTGCTGGAACTATAAGGGCCAAGCAGATCATGGCTTCCAACTGTCTTACTTAAAACCATCTTATGCATGTATCATTAACATATCCAGATCAGTACACCTAAGGTGATTTCAAGTAACTGGCTGACAATGAAATACAGGGACAAGCGTGATAACATATCCGGGGAAATGATTAGTGCAATATTCTGATGGAGCAAAGAGGCATTGTAGTTTTGGCCTAAAATAATCATGGTTTTTCTCAGAATTGTTCTAGATTTTTTTTTTCTTGTCATTTAATCCTTGACACAAATAGACTATTTCCACAAATTCGCACCAGCGCAGAAAGAAGCGAAAACTGCCCAACTGCAACTTATAAAATTAATTAAATTAAATATTTTAATTAATTAAAATGAAATAGTTATTGATCAAAATATTTATAACCTATACCAAGATAGGATTTGGTATTTAAAAACAGCCAAGAAACAACAAAAACTATTCATCCCTGGACTTAAGAGAGCAATGAAAAAGTACTTAAGGAAAAGAAGGGCTAATGCATGCTCTTTGGGAAAAACAAAAATATTTTTTTAGAGGATAGTGAACAGAAAAGGTTAAGCCCCTTTTAATTTGCATAAAGTTACAGGAACATTTCCCTGTATGAACTTTTGACTACTTCCAGAGAGTTCTGAACATTGTTCTGAGATCACAAATTACAACAGACAAAGATAGGAGATTTCATAGTCTCTCCCAGGCAGCAAGAAATAGTTATATTCCATAATTTTATTAAATGAAACTTACCAATCCTCTGCTTTGGAACAAATGACATGTATGGCATAACATTAACAAGAGAGAGAAAGGGGAAAATGTGTGCAAATGCTTGAAGGAATCAGGTACTAGCATAAACTTTAAAAAAACTTCAATTTACCGGAATGTTATCATCAAGTTCCACTATTTTATTTTCTGTAGGTGAGTTATCACAGTATTCAACAAACTCTTTCTCCAGCTTGTCAGTTTGCTTCACGCTTAGTGGCTTCCATCTTGACTTTTTCTTGGGTTTTGTCTCCCAAATTATATCAGAGCTTGCAAATAAATTAAAAAAAGATTATCAAATTGTAAAACTGTGATAAACAATAAAACTTTATTATTAAATCTTTGAGATAGGATTCTTAAAAAAGTCTTCAATATCAAAAGTACTTTATAATTTTTGAAAAAAAATGCATTAAAACTATTTGGAAATATAAATTATTTTATAACTGAGACTTTAATGTACTTATTAAAAAGACAATAATAGCAATATAATTGTCATAATCCTCAATTATTTATTGCATATAAATTACATATTCTGTCAAGTATTAACTTTAAACTTGGCATTTATGTAGCTGGTGCCTGTAATTGTGCTAATAAATCATCATAACTTGCCCATAACAAATAACAAAGCATATGATGGCAACGTTAAATTGTTTGTACATAGTTTATTCAGATAGAAGATAAAAATCTGCCACAATTTCAACACGTACAAAGGGATTCTAGGTTACAATTGGGCTTGTAATAGTTCCTATACATTACACTCACTTCTGAAGTTAAAGACTCTAAATTACAACATCAAATATAATTTACTATATAATATACATTACTAATATTAAGATTTTAAATTTAGTTTTTAGAAATGTAAATGGTAAATTGAATATATTAGTTACCTTGTGATTCCAATGTAAGCAATTTCCTGCCTTGAATAGTTATTTACTAAAGAAATTCCAACATCTTGCAATGACACAATTATTTCTTGTTCTGCTAATTCCACTTTTTCACTTTCATATGTCATTTTGAAAACATTTTCATCTTCAGTGAATAAGATTATACGCTGCAAACCTTCAAAAAATGAAGCTATAAAAATGTGCTTGGCTCCCACCTGAAATGGTGTCATCAGATCCTAAAATAAGAGATAAATATTAATTATCAGACATTCTTCAAAGGATTATTGCTCAGAAAGTTTTTATTTCCAAGTTTGATAACCCACTGCGACTGGGCCATATTTAGTGGTGTATATGGGGTATTCCTGCAGCAGGCAGAGAATACAGCTCTTCAGAATCTCCAACCTCAGAGTGATTATAAAGAAGCTAGTTAGCTAATTCACATATTTAAAAGGCTGCTTTAAGGATATAAATATCAATTGTTTTATATATTGTTATATACTACTTTCATGAATTCTATGGAAATATGGTTTACGTATATCTATCTACTTCTATTTA